ATATTTGGAATCACACTTTATTTTCCTCTGAAATTAAAGTTAAAGTTCACGATCTTGGCATGAATTGCAGATTTTAGAGACTGCAGAATCATTATTATTATTGTTAGAGAAGCCTACTGGTTCAGTTAATGTTGAAGATATTACTCTACACGAGGACGCTTCCTTGATACCAAGTAACATATTAGATTCTCTGAAGCTTTCCCAGCTTGGTGATGACAGCATAGGAAGTGTAGAGGACAATCTTCTTCTAGGTCTTGGGGACAAATTTATGTGGGAATGTCCAGAAATATTACCCTACAGACTTAATGCTGTTCCTGCGAAAAGAAAAATGTCAACAATGGATGGGCAGGCTAGGCGTGCTAGAGGAGAGAACTCCCCAGCTGAAATCTCTTCCCAGAACACATTTGCACGTGGACCAGGGATATCTACCACCCCTTCACTTCCATCACGTAGAGATACCTTTCGGCAGCGAAAACCAAATACCAGCAGGCCTCCTTCCATGCATGTTGATGATTATGTTGCGAGAGAACGAAATGTTGATGGGGCTATTAATTCTAATGTAATTTCCATTCAACGGGTAGGATCTTCCAGTGGGAGACCTCCATCGATACATGTGGATGAGTTTATGGCCAGGCAAAGGGAACGCCAGAATCCTGTCGTAGCTGTGGTTGGGGAGGCTGCATCACAAGTGAAGGGTGGGGTTCCTGCAAATGACACGGATTTGGAGAAGTTAAGCAAACCTAAGCAATTAAAGACTGACCTTGATGATGATCTTCAGGGGATTGATATTGTATTTGATGGTGAGGACTCAGATCCTGATGACAAATTACCCTTTCCTCACCTGGATAATACTCTACAGCAATCTGATCCCATGTTGGTTGAACAAGGTTCTCCTCGTTCAATTGTTGAAGAGACAGAAAGTAATGGTAATGATACGAGCCAGTTTTCTCCCATGGGTGGGCCGGCCGTGTCTAATGTCGATGAAAACACTCAAAGTGAATTTTCTTCTAGGATGTCTGTTTCACGTCCACAATTTCCGTTGGCCCGTGAATCCAGTGTGTCCTCGGGTAAGAAGTACTTTGAGCATCCCGATGATGGGAAGAATGCTATTCCTGTTAGAAGTGCAGGTGGTGGGGTTGACACTTCCGCTACAGTTAACTCGTCATATAACAATGCAACCACGCCACCTTCAAAGTTCGTAGCTGAGCCTAGGGTAAATACACAGAATTACTTATTCAAAAATAGTCCTCAGCATCTTGGTAGTGGACCACCATCCATAGGATCTCAAGGGTTCTATGAGCAGAGGTTTTTTCCAAATCAACCCCCACTACCTCCAGTGCCTCCACCACCAACAGTTACATCTGCAATATCTCAACCATCTGATCTGCCTTCCAGTCAGTCTTCCCCATTTTCCAACTTTGTAACAGACGCTCAACAAAGATATTCAACGACGTTCCATGTAAGAAACAACGTCTAGTTGAATCTTCTGCAGCATATTTCTCTGCTGGTTGTCATTGTCTGCAACTTATTTCTTTATTTTGCTTTTGCAGGGCCCTTCGGATTATCCATCTGGATACAATAGTTCAGCATCATTTTCCAGTGGATCTGTCAGGCCACCCCCACCCCTTCCTCCAACACCACCACCTCTTTCGTCCAGCCCACATAATTTATCATCAAGTAAAATTCCTCTTCCAAGCACGCCAGCTTACAACATGGAGAATGTTGGGATGACAGAGGTTCCTCAGAACCCTACTGCAAGTTCAACAGACACACGTTTAGGTGGAGTATCTGCTTCTGGGGTCATGCTAGCTTCTAATTCTCTCCCGGCACTTCCACACTTGGTCTTTAGTAGGCCTTCGATGCCTGTAAATCTCTATGGGGGCATTTCAACTCAGCAACAGAATGAAAGCTCGTCAAGTATTTTGCCGAATTTAGCTATTCCTCCATCTTCCATGCCTTCAATGCATTCTCTGCCTCAGTTACAGCCCCTGCAACCTCCACAGCTTCCTCGACCTCCTCAGCCGCCCCCTCAGCATCTTAGGCCACCCATCATAGCTTCACAACAACCAGAACAGGTGGTATCAATGCAAGGCTCGGTTCAAATGCAAATGCATCAATTACAAATGCTACAACAGCCAAGAGTTTCTCCTCAATTCTACCAATCACAACCAGTAGGGTTATCACATGCTCCACCTCAGCAACAATTTGAACATCCTCAACATCAAGCTATACATCAGCCTGGGGATGCCGCAACCGCATCCCAGCAACAGCAGGATTCAGCAATGTCATTGCATGAGTACTTCAAGTCTCCAGAAGCCATTCAGGTAACCATTTTTGTTACTTCTCATCAAGACTTCTTCAATGAGTTCTCTCCTTTCCATTGAAATTAGTGAACCCCTTCTTTTCCAACGCAGTCATTGTTGAGTGATCGGGAAAAACTGTGTCAGCTTTTGGAACAGCACCCTAAGTTGATGCAGATGCTTCAGGTAATTTAATGCCTCCATTATGCAAAATGATAGGTTGAACAAATGTTTGAGATTGGCATGCACAAGTATTTGAAGAAAGTTGACGGTGACATAAATACATTTTCGCTCCTTGAATTTATGCTGTGGCTGTAGCTGCTTGCTTGCTACTACTCTGTGCTAGTCTTTGTAGAAAGTAAATTACACAGGTTTCTATTGTTTTGGTTTTTGAAAATTAAGCTTATAAACACTATTTCTACCTTAAATTGATTTTGTCTTCCACATACCACCAATATTTTCAAACGTTTCTTAAAGTAAGTGAAAACTATAGCATTTCAAAAACTTAAAAACTAAAAATGTTAATGAACTAAGACCTTAAAAAAGGTTAGTGATAGGTGGTGATTCTGATGACTAAATCTTTGATTCTTTTCTTGGTAACAGGAGAGACTGGGTCAACGATAGTAGCCTACGATTGTAGAATAGATGGGACGCCTCCTTTGTACTTTATAGCGGCGCTGAGTCTTGATTAGCCTGCCCAAGAAGAGAAGAGACGAGAAGAGAAGAAAAGAAGAGTGGCCTGTATGTACCATTACCAATGAGTTTTGTAGTAAATAACAATTATGTATTATCATTATCCATCAGTCTTTTATGTAACTACGAACAATTCTTTTGTTTAATTCATGAATTTTACACTATTTTCGTTGCGTAGTGCTACTATCACTGCTCTTTTTTATCTTTAACTTTTGGTTTATTCAAAATCGATTTTAGGCGCATTTAAATATGATCATATGCCCAACTGATATTACTATATTATCTTTGAAAGATTGCAATAGGAATATCGTTTGGAAATCATTTAAGAATCTCCAAAAATTAGTAAAGTTCAAGATACACATTGAAATCAAATTTTAAGACGTGTGTTTCCTTTAACATTTTATTATTTAATTTCGTTTGAACTATTATATATGGATTTGGTTCAGTTTTATAATCTTTAAGTACAAAATTAAAACATTTATTTGTTATATTTAAGGATATTAAAGAACATAATGTTTACTTTTAGGCATGAAAAAAGACATTGTACTAAAAAATCAGATTCATAGTCTTCTTTAGTCTGAATGCACATATATTAGTTTTATGCTGCTTCTTTTTCCCTTCTTATAGTTTCCAGTGGATTACGTGTTGCAATATCATTGGGTGCACGAGCTGGAATTAAATATCAATACTCCATTTTGCGTGATCCGAGAAGCCCATGATCCAAGAGATCCTTTCTTTCTTTATTAATTATCCTATTTTATGTGTTTACGTTACAAATTTTATTATCATAAAGAATCCATCAATGGAATTAGCACCTATCCTTGCATGCATTTCTTACCAACTAATTTTTTTTCACACAATATCTTAATAAACGTGGGGTATATGAATGAATCATGATCATATCCGAATGAGAGTGATCATAAAAATAGATAGCTAAAAAAGCTAAAAAGAATTAAAAGTTACTACTCGTGCCAACAATGTGTACCTTCCTTAAAACAATTCTGGGATGGCATGTAAGTAAGAACAAAGTATGCTAGAGTATTGATCTGTAGAAGATAGTCTTTGCTTTTAAAAAGCGATGAGTAAATAACATGACCATGTCGTGGTCATCATGTGTCTAATTCAGATTTTGAATCTTGAGCATGGGTTGTTACACCTCATAACTCTTTTTTCTGATTACTTTTTCTTTGAATTATTTTTTTACCACAACCATGGTACATTTTATGATATACAATAAACAAAGGTAGAATGAAAAGTTATTTTATTTCATTCATGACTTTCATACTATTCTTAAACGTTTATGTTATAACACGTTTATGTTCTAACGGCTAATAAATTGAAGTGGTATGAAACTTTTTGCATATTACGGTAATATTAAAAAAATTCTATTTTTTTTCCTTTTCTATTATTTTGTTAAAAAAAAAAAAACCATAAATCAGTTTGAATTAGTTTGTGATGGAATAGCTAAAAATACACATTTTAAAATTATAAGGTTGGGAATACTAAGAACATTGTAATTATTTATAAGGGTCGGGAAAATCATATTCTAAAACATAATAAAATAACGCATGATTCGCAAAATCATAATTCAGAAAATGTTTGGAAATTTATGGAAAAAAAATTTGTAAGAATCTCAAGGGATTGGATTGCCTAATTTCTCAATTTGATTAAAAAAAAGGAAAGAAAAAAAACAAACCATGTGGCCTTCTCTTGATAACATAAAGCAAGCCCTAAACGTAGGTTTTCTCGAGGCTTTTGCTTCCCAATTTACCCTCATACCCACCAATCCTGTTGTGCCACGTAAGCAAAACACCGACACGTCGTCTTAGGCTTCGGGTGAGTGGCATAATCCCTCCTGTTTCCTCATGTGCTCCTTGAGAAAACACATTCCCAAGGTGTCTTCTTCAAAACCCCATCACAAAAATTTCATCTTTTTTAGAGATAAATTTATAAAGCTTTGTTAAATGCCAATCCCCATCTGGGTTTTCTCTTAAAATCCCATTGGAAATGGATAGGGGATGGAAGCCAATGGTGGAAATATCACCCAATTGTCCAAGATGTGGCTCTTCCAACACTAAGTTTTGTTATTACAACAATTACAGCCTCACCCAACCTCGCTACTTCTGCAAAGGCTGTCGTCGCTACTGGACCAAAGGCGGTTCCCTCCGTAACGTCCCCATCGGTGGTGGCTGTCGGAGGCACCGACGACCAGCCAAGCCCTTAACACTATCTCCATCTCCCTCAAACCCTAAATTTCACCACACCAATGGTACCAGCTCCCTCCACCACAATCACCGTCTCCCCGATCCAGACGTGTCTCCCGTCATCGATTTGGCGGTCGTCTACGCCAATTTTGTGAACCAGAAGCTGACAACACCCGGGACTATCCCGGCGGATAGTACCACGTCGAATGCAGCCGGTGAGAGTGGCAATTTGTGTGAGTTTTCCATGCAGGAATGTGGGTTGGGAGGCAATGAGTATCAAGTGCCCGGTTGCTTTGGGTTAGAGGAGAATAGTGAGAATCAAGTGGATAACATTGAATTGGCGGCGCGTGAGCTTCAATTGCCGCCGTTACCGGGGGAGGAGATGGTGGGAAGTTGGGCAAACCCTATGATAATGAATCATCATCATTTGCAACCAACACGAGTGGAAGTGTTTGGAATGGAAACTCAAGATCCAACTTTGCTTGGTGGTAATTGGAGCCCTATTGATTTATCAAATTATGAAACATTCTCAAGGGCTTAACAAATATACATATATACATAATAATCTATCATATTTTTTCCAAAGTATTTTTGTGTATGAACTTCCATACATATATAAATATATATATATATATATATATATATATATATATATATATATATATATATATATATATATATATATATATATATATATATATATATATATATATATATATATGTATATATATATATATATGTATATATATATATATATGTATATATATATATATATGTATATGTGACTTATTGTACTTGGTTCATGTATACAAAAAAAAAAAAAACATTACATTATCCCATCTTTGCTTATGGAATAAATATTTAGTGCAAACATCAAATAGACATAATGATATTGATACGAATATCATACACGAGCGTGCATCCTCAGAATCTCTCTGGCCTTCTCCTTCATCTTCTTCGAAACCACCGCCATCCCTCCGCCGTGTGCCAGCAGTGCCGCCCTGCCATCTCGCAGACCCTTCTCTGGCGCTGCCAGTAGAATCTCTACCAGAACCCCAACGCCACCGGCCTCCACCGCCTTTACTCTGTATCTACCCTACGGACATACTGCAATTGAAATCCCCAGTGCTGCTTTGAAGCTCTGCTGGGATTTCCAATCCTTCAAACTCTCAACAATTTGCACGAAAAAATCGGATGCCATGAAGTTTAGTTCAATTGGGTCGGCAATTTCGACCATGGATTTCAAAAGCAAGACCGCATAGGCTCGGGACGACTCGTGGGTGTCCTGTTTCATGACATTGGTCAAGGACTCGAGAAATTGGCTGTGGGGAGCTGCTACCCAAAAGGCATAGTATTCTTTGATTATAAACCGATGATCATTCTCTAAATTAGTCGATGTGGGACTTTCATCATCCAAAATCGGTAATAGGGTCAGTTGTTGATTTGGAGGGTGATGGGTAGAGGAAGTAGTGGGTGACTTCAATTTCTTCTTCCATTTTTTGATTTATGATTATATATATATAAATATAATTAAACACAATACATAAATAAATATATTAAATCAATATTCATATAATTTATATTATATTATACATTATATAATCCATTATACATTACTCATCTAATCATAACAATCCATCTAAACCCATTGAAGAAAACAAATATAGAATCCCCAAAAATATATATACTCATGTACCCTAATGTCTAATTAACCCACTCACTGCAATTTATGATTCTATTCAAAACTGTAAAACCAAAAACCAAAAACTATACTAGTAAATTCCTTTTTTTTTCTTTTTTTTTTTACAATAGTACCTTTCAACAATCTCTGCCCCCAATCTGCAGAGTGAATTTGAAATTTTGGGTTTAGGCCACGAAGTCCGGCAGTAACTGGGCGGCGAAACGTTTTCCATTTTGGATGTTCATGGTATCAAAGGCGGCGGAGGAGTGCGCTGTTGTGGAGGCGTTCATGGCGGAATAATCGGCGGCTTTTCCAATTTCTGTTCTTCTTCCTAATTGGATGCTCTGATTTGGGAGGAACCTTTGGTGGGTTGCTGCGTTTAAGGACAGATTTTCGCAATGGGGAAGCCCTAGAGTCAAAGACACGCCATTGTTGCCGGAGAATCTTGGAGTGAACTCATCCGCCTCGAATCTCGCCATTTCCCCTATTGGGTATTGCCCGAATCCGCCGAGGTTGAAATGGGGTTGGCCTAGAAATGAATACCCATCTCTGTTTTGTCTCTCCTCGTCGAATTTCATTGGTACATCGTGATTTTGGTTCTGATTCTGTTGATTCTGTCCTTCTCCTTCTTCTCGGGGTTTGATGTCCATGTTTATGAATGCCACGCTGTTGTCTGAGGAATGGAGGATTTCGGGGCCTCTCTGTTTCTTGGGGCTTCTTTGAGTGATTCCATCCAGCTCCGATGAGGTTCCAATTAGTGTAAACCCAGATGGGTTTCGGACATTTCCCCCGGAGGAATTTGAAATTGAAACTGAAGGATGAACGTTTTGGTTCGGGGAATTCTCTTGTTTTGAATTGGGGCTTTTTGTCTCCATGGACTTTGAAACTGAATCTTCGTTGTTTCTTTCCCCCACCGTCGCCGGTGTCGATCCACCTCCGTTCTGTTCTTGCTCCTTGATTTCCTCCATGTACATCTCTTCCACCATTGGCTTCCATAGCCGAACTCTCGCGTTTATGAACCAATTCGAAACCTGCATTTTTTTGAGCTCAATTTGATGATTGAAACACAATATTCAATGGATTTTGAGTTCTGAATTTTGATCGGAATTTCAAACTGACCTGGCTTCGGGTGAGCCCTGTTTGCTTAGCGAGCATGTGTTTATCCGAATCCTTAGGGTAACTGAAACGAATTCGAACAATCCAATTGAGATTATATGAAATTTTCAAACGGGTTTTGGGAGAATTTCAGAGAAAAACAAAAAAAAGATCGGAACTTACGGGTGGAGGAAGTGTTCGAAAAGCCAAGCGCGAAGAATCGAAACAGAGCGCTCCGGTAAGCCTCTCTGGGGTCTCCAAGCATTGTGTTGGATCATACCCAATTGTTGCAGAGCCCGCTGTTGCCGGAGATGGTGATCGACGAATTTCAACCGGGAACCTTCCATTTTTTTTCCGACGCATTCTTCTTCACCCAAGCTCCTGCTGGCTGCTCGAATTTGGCCGGCGATGGCGTCTTTTAAACAGCGAAATTTCTTTGAGATCGTTTGAAGTGCAAGGGCCGTGTAGGTTCTCGCCGACCCGGCGCCGGCCGCCTGCTCGAAAGTGGATATCACTATCTGCATCTGGTGGTGGTACTGTCTGTACCTCTGCTCCACCTGAAATTAAGAACAGAGTTGAAAAAAACAGAGACAAAAATTAAGGATTCTTTTTTTTTTGGGATTTTTTGTTGTGGACCTCATCAAGCATGCTAATAAGCTTTACTTTCTTCATCTGAATTTCTTGTCTCTCGGCGGTGGTGAGCTCGACGGCGCGTTTACCGTCGGCTTCACCTTCTAAGGAACCATCAGCAGTTCCAGTAGCAGCGGATGCATCTCCGTTCATCTTAGTTTGATGTCTGTTTCCCTTTCTGGGAGACGATTCGTTCTTAATTCCATTTTGGCTAACATTGACAACCTCATCTAAAAGTTCTTGCGCAGCCTTGAGATACTTAGAGCTAATTAAAACACCCTGAATTCCAGCAACGCCATTGGTAACACCAGAAGCCGAAGAAGACGATCCACCAGAGATCCGCAGAGTCTCCTCACCAGAAACCGCCTGCTGGGTATGCGATTGAACAACATCTCTCGACCCAAAACCAGGAGGGTGTTGCGAAGAGAGACTCAACGACAAACCCTGCTGAGCGCGTGAAGAATCACGCGCCGCCGTGGAAGTGTCAATTGAATTCCAAATATTGTGTTGAACACGGGGGAGAAAGCCGTGCAAGGCGGAGATGTCATGGTGGGGGTTCAAGGAATGGGAATTGTCATCTTGGGACGTGGGGATTCCAACGAATTGCTGTATAGAGAAGGAATTAGGAGCAGCAGGGGCAGAAGCAGGGGAATTGAAGAAAAGGAGATTAGGGTGCGAGGGAGGCGGAGGAGGCGGCGGAGTGTCGGAGAATTGGACATAGGTTGGGTTCCTTAAAACGAGGGTTTGAAGGGCAGCATCAGGAGACTGGAAGTGATCAGAATTGGCATGAAGGTAGGTCCCCATCGCCGAGGATGGAAGCGTTTGAAGAAAAATATGATATCCTTTTTGTAAGGAATTTAGTTCACTGAAAAAGAGAGTACGTTAGTCAGTTAAGCTTCACATCCAATCCAATCCAATCCAATCCAATCCAATCCAATCCCTCATTCATATTTAACTCAAATCACCACAAAAAGAAATCAAAACTCAATTTTCTCTCTCCTTTTTGTGTCTATGCCGACACCAATAAATATAATAAATATTTACACACACTGTTTGGAAACCAAAAAAGAAAGGGAAAGAAGACGAAGAAGAAGAAAACAACAGAATCCGCCATGAAAGAGATTGCTTCACAACCTTCAATACCCCAAAAAAGAAACAACTTTTCTGAACAACAAACAAAGCTGCACACAGAAGCTTCTTCACACATACACACACACACACACACATACATATAGAAAGAGAAAGAGAAGAGAGAGAATTTATTAATACCTGAAAGTATAATGGGAAATCTGAGAAAGCACGTGTGATTCATGGATGAGTCTGCAATATGGGAAAGGAAAGCCATAATTTTTTCAAAAACCCAGAACTCAAAAAGGAGAAATAAACTCACTCACACAACAAAAGAACCAGAATTGGGCAATCAATCAATCAATATATATAAAGGCTGAGAAAAAGATACCCATCTTTTTTTTTCTTTTTTTTTCACTTCATTATCCATTATATATATGTGATAGTTTTAATTTTAAGAAGAAGAAGAAGAAGGGGAAGTTCTGATTTGACTCAACCTTTTCCTATCACTTTGATGCACCCAACCCCATTTCTGATTCATTATCAACAATGAAAAGGAGAGGGAAAATATCTTCTTTTTTTTTTCCTTTTTAGTTAATAATGGATTCAATTATTACAATAAAATATTAGATATTAGTTTTTAATGTAAGTAAGATACAGAATGGAGAGTTGAAGGAGGTGGAAATGTCTGCTTGTTTTTAATTTCTTGAGCAAAGAAAATGCAGAGACAAAAAGAAAGAGGAAGAAGATGGTGATGAAGAACACAAATTAGGGTTTTTTTTTTTCTATTTGGAGGGCCCTTTTGCTTTCATTTCTTTCTTTATTATCTTCTTGTCTTTTTCGTAATATCTCCTTTTTTTTTTATTCCTTTTTTTCTATTTATTATTGCTATTTTCTTGTAGAGAAACAATGGGCCAACCACCACAACACCCACTTTTAATGCTTAGGGAAAAAATACAAAATAATTTCTTTAAAAAAAAAAATTAATTGAACCTCTTTTTGATAGATATGTTTTAAAAATCTTGAGAAAAAGTTTAAAATAAAAAATCTAAAAATGACATGTTTTTTAATAATAAAAAAAAAATAGACGAGAAAGGGTAATTAATGGAATTTTATTTATGATTGTATTTGAGTTATTAAGATATAATAAGATCTTAACTTCTATCACCATCTATCGGGTAACAATAATTGACTATTTGACACTCTCATAATTTTAAATTTATTTCTATATTTGTAATTTATAATGTTTCTTTTCTTTCCCACACACATAAAAAAAATAATAATAAATGAAAGAAAATAAAAGTTTTTGTAAGATTACGGAAGTAGAATTTACTGTCCCAAGATTTAATTACTTTATCCATTTGTAAACCATCTAATCATCTTTAATAAAGTAAAACCCTACTAACTCAATACTTAACCATATCAAAATACACCTAACCCTAATCTCATTAATCAAATCAAACTATAGGCTAAATTTATGAATGAAATATATAATATAGTCGTTGTCATAGATAGATATAATTGGAAATCGTAACGCCTTATCCATGGAAGATTAACTGAAGAAGAAGATTATGGATATGTTATAATAATTAATTATGATTATTAAGGTATGGATGAATAAACGATGATTCAACTCATTCCTCTCCAAAAACCCTTATTCTTCTATATTTCAATTGCATCACTTTCATATTAACAAGTTATTTATTTTATATTTTCTGTCCTTAAAATCTAATGTTCGTGTCCGTACATACACCAATATTATTGTCCCCCACATCAATCTCTCTTCAAAACATAGTATATATTTATATATTCAACACTTTACTTTGGGCTTCATGCTTGTTAAAAGATAAAATTGTAATTTGAATAATATTATTAATAGTATGAAATGAATTTATAATATTCCTACTTTATATCATTTTCTTATACGAAACACATCATTCCTTAAGAATTTATTCCAATTTTTTTGTAAAAACAGTACGTGGCATCTCTATCATCGAGGTCATGATCGAACATTAGGACTTGAAACGATAGCGAGAAAAAGGATGAAATCGATAGGAGAAGGTTAAGAGGGAGAGGGTTAGAGTTGGTTTCGAGGATTGGACCCCATGCCTTTCATGGCCATCAAAACTCATCATCCTATCGAAGTCTTGTTTTGAACAAGAATATATGTCATAACTATGTTGAAGCGAGCGGGTTAAGTTGCGTGTTGATTTCAGATAATAATAATTATTTTTTTGTAGGGGTAGTTTAGAGGGTTTAGGGTTTTGTTAGAGGTAAGGGGTTTTGAGGGCAGTTGGAGGTTTAAGTTATGGCATGGCTTGTGATATGATGATGATGTGGGAGTCGAGTTCATTGAATTTCTCCAATTATAAAAGCAATTCAATCATTAAAATGCTATATGCTTTCTTTGTTGTAACTTTATTACAATCACAATTGGACTGGGTGTTTCAATTTTATACCTACCTGCTTTATTTAATATTGTCTCTTCTTTACCTCATTCTTTCTTTTCTTTTCTTTTCTTTTCTTTTCTTTTCTTTTCTTTTTACACCCTTTAATCATTTTCATACCCACCCCTCAAAACCCATTTTACGCTCTCCATATACTTCTGCATCGTTTTTAAGAGTGAAAACTATTCCCATAACCTAACACGAGACCTTAGAATCTACTTTATTCTCACTTGCATGCATCTTACGAAAATTTATAATGGGTCAAGCAAAGCACACACAATAGAATTAAAATAGTGAATAAATGAAGAAATTGATTTTTTTTTTCTCTCGTTCTAGAGTTGGAGATAATCAACATACTAATTATTTCGTGTTTTAAATGTTGCAAGTTTTATGGTCACTTCATAAAAGTTAATATCAAATTTAACTCTTTAAGGTATATAAAGTTGGTTGTTCGTCTATCAAATCATATTGATTCAAAAGAGGGTGATTTTAATTTTCTTTATATATTATTATATTCTCATAAATTGTCCTTTGATATCATTTTTTTTGTAAAGATTTTCAAATATTACCTAAAAAAATCAACCCCGCAATCATGAACCATTGATTTTAAAATAAATAAATACAAATAATCGTGATTAGATTATATAAAATTACACCTCTATTTCACTAATTTTGATTTAATTTTTTTTAAAAGATTAAATTTAAGATTTAGAATTATAGTTTAACCTAATTTTAATTGATTAGCCGACATTAATTAATGAATCTTTAATTTGGTTTCATATATTTTAAGAATGACGTGGGAATGACCACCGAGAGGTAATGTGGGCACGAGTGTGGAGGTGAATCGCATGATTAATTAACACTAATTTAATTATGTCTACAATTAATGTCTAACAAACAAACAAATTAATATTTAATGTAAAGTCTATCAAATTAGCTATATAAAGCAAGCATGTATAATGCTATCAATATTAGGCTGTTTTTTTTTTCTTAAAAAAAGGAAAAGAAAATACTATTTGTTTTATTCAAATAGTCCTTAATTGTTATTTTTAAAGTGCTTTTACTACCAATATTAGAAGATGTGTATGATCTAAAATTATTTGATGGCGATTTATTTATAATTATTATTTATTTTATATATGTTAAAAATAAATAAATAAATAATAATTGACGAACACATGCAATTCTTATAAATAAACATTAAAGGGAATAAAACGTTACCAAACATGCTCTATGAGTTAATTATTTCAGGAGAAAATATTTTAATAATTATTGTTTACATAATTTTATAATTGTTTTTTGTGTGGTTTTCTCCCAATTATATAAATACATAACATAATTATTCAATTACTTCATACTAATATTCTCATAAAAGAAGGGAAAAAAATTTAATCATGTCCGCCACGTCACGCTAACGCTAGAAAAAGGGAGTGGGACCCCACGTGTGGATCTGATCCTACTTGGCAGGTAGAATTGCGTTAGAGGTCTGTCGAGGGGGTTTTGGACTTTTGGCGCTAGAAACTGGAAAGAAAAGTGGAGCCCACAGGGAACCCAATCACTGTACACGCGTCAACCATACGAGTGAGTTTTTAATTGTGCCCCGAAATTTTTTGCATTTTACGAAGATTCGCCCAAGAAGTGGGGCCCAAGTAAAGTCCAATCAGAAATGGAGCTTTCGTTTTTTTTGAATTCTTATATTTTTTTTCTCTCTCCGCTTTAATTGAGGCGTGTAATTCCACGAATAGGAGGGTCCCACGTGTTTTTGGAGGTAAAAAAAAGTCAAGAAAGCAACCAATAGGAAAAGAGAGATGGGTGTGTGGGCAACTAAAATTGCCTTTTGTTTAATGCGGGAAAATGTCCCGCTTGTCATTGTCGGTTCCATGATTTGCCACGTGTCAGCTTCTTGTACCACGTGACCAACTGCCCCGCCTCTACCTCCTTTTTCTTCCCTCTTTTTACCCCTTTGCCCCCCACTTTTCTCTTTATTTACATCTCTCCCCTCCTCATACAAATTTTTTGACGTATTAAATATATTGAAGACAAATACCATACCTATTTCATTTTAATATATATTTAGTCTATCATTTTGAATTAGATATAATATCAATATTCCCTTCCTCAAATAAGCTTAAATAAATTTTAGAGATTTATTAAATATTATAAACATTGTTGTGGTCGGTAAGATAATTGAAATAAATTGAAAATATCATAATAAGTATTATCAACTTTGCATGTATCTTTTAAAGAATATATTAATATAACATTCAAAGCATGACTTATACCAAAAAAAAAAAAAAGAAAGAAAGCATTTTATATGAATAATGTATGTATATATAAGTTTCCAAACAATCGGTCAAAATCTATAATAGTTGATGTGATTATTCGGACGAAGATGGAGAGGTTGTCATCATGGTAACAAAAAAGAAACAAACTTTATAAAATAGAAATATTATTTAATAAACATATTTAAAACAATATACTCCATGCTCTCTTCATTGCTTGGGGGTGTGCGTGCATGGTAATATTGTATCATGATTTGATGATGACGTCAGCCAAGGGGACAAATAATAATAAATACTTATTTTGTTTTATTCATTACGTTTCAAGCTAATACAAGTAGGGTTTATGCAAAATTCGTTATATAAATGAATTCACACAAACATATTAAAAAAATATTTATTTATTTTTTTAATCTAAATATACTATATATATATATATATATATATTCCATGTGACAAAATTTAATTTGGATTAAGAGATGAAAAAGAGTGAAAAGGAATGGAAAAAGGAGAGGGGAAAATGCACATGATTGATTCATGTACTTAAATTGATGAAAGGGTGGAGTGAGCATATGGTGGTTTGAAACCAATTATTATTAATATAATAATAATATATGGTATGGTCTGGTCTGGTGTTTGGTCTTCTTGTT